CCCCTCCCCCACCCCTCTCACTCCGACTTAAATAATGACTGGTCCCTAATAAAATGGAATATATTCCAAAATAGCCAATATTCCAACATAGCAATATTCTTTTGCAATGCTTTTGGACTGGGGTTAATTAGGGGCGAGGTCAAAATAATGGTCCAAAACAGGAACCTGATTTTATGAATGAAGGTGAATTTTAGGTACCGGTACATACCCCTCCCCCCTCAGAGACCTGTTCAAATGCTCGATACTGGGGGTCTGTAGTGGCATTTTTTATACACAAATATGTTTTTTAGCATACATGCAGAAAGACAGTCCATTCATTTTTGTGATTTGGCTTTAAGTTTTGGAGATATTTGGGGACAAAGCCTAAGATTTCACTTCCAGAGGTGGTGGGTACCGGGTAACACCACCCCTCCCCCCTAAATCGGGACCCGTGAGATGACAATCATTTTGCCCTCATCCCTTAGAAGGAGAGGGGGGATGCTTAATACATTTTTCTGATCTTCGGAAATACTAGTGTACTCTAAAAACAATGGCTATTCTTCTTTTTTCTGTTCACTGCAATTCCCAGACACACACAACGAACTAGACCTTTATCACAAACGAAAAATTGAGTTTGTGGTGGACGTCAATCAAAAGGGTTTCTATCGTTTCCATTGGTTTCTACACCAGAACTGGCGTGAATACTCACGTGAACACGTGCAAATGTGCAAAAACCGTTACCCTTATCTCATGCTTCTTGTTGCTGTGAATTTCTCACTCTGGATATATTTTCTCAAGCAAAGCTATTGGTATTGACATGATCTGGGCTTCTTCAAGATCAGATAAGTCAATACCGATAGCTTTGCAGTTAAGCGTTTGAAATTCGGATTCGGAATCCTTAGACATGTTTAAGAAACCCCTTTGATTGAAGTACACCAAAACTCAATTTTGTGTTTGTAATATAGGTCCCAGCGCAGTAAGCTTCCCCAATCAAAACTTTTAAGCATATTACTCTTAACTGAAAGAGCATTCATAGATGAAGGGATCATGGGAAGGTTAGAGGGATGGATGGATAAATAAGTAAATAAGTAATTAAGTGAATAAATGCGCACGCAAGTGAGAGCTTAGTGGCACTTGAAACAGTCCAATGAAAAAAAATTCCTCAAGATATTTTATTCTTACCTTTTCTTCCTGTCTTTTGGGTGTTAAATCGTTGTGTTTTGATTTTCAGAATATACAGAAAAACTGAAGTCATCCATTATACAACAAACCGATTTTCTGTTGTCAGAGGAAGAAGACAAGAAAATTAGAACCGATGACATCTTTACAAGTGTGACTATACAACGTGGTCCAAAACGCTTCAAGGAGTCCCAAGAGGGAGAATTGGATGAAATTCAAGCAAAGAGTACAAAACTCAAGAACTGTTCAGATATGTTTCTTTGCCTGGAAAATGATGATCAGAAATCTGCAGCTTCTTGCACGACCAATCCTAAATCTGTCTTGTTGACGGGCAAAGCAGGAATTGGGAAATCCCTCTTTTGTCGGAAGCTGGTACGGGATTGGTCGTATGGCCGATTGTTTGAGGAAGGTCAAGAAAATGCCAAAGTACCTGATTTTCAGTTTGTGTTCCTGTTGACATTCCGTCAACTTCTTCTTCTAGAAAAAGAAGAAGAAAGGGTTGACTTACGTGATATATTAAATCAGTCCTCCCTGCTGAACGAGCACTCGGTGATAGACGAGCCATTACTGCAGTACATGATTGAAAATCCTGAGAAGCTGCTCATCATTCTCGATGGTTATGATGAGTATAAACATCGAGAGAAAATCACCGGGGACTATGAGACAGCATATTCAAACGACCCTCATGAAAAAATACCTGTTCCTGCTCTGATTGCCAAAATCATGAAAGGAAAGATGTTAAACGGTGCAGTGGTCCTCGTATCCTCGAGGCCTGGCGAAGCCGAGGAATTAAAAAAAAATATGTTTGATGTGAGATGTGACATTCAAGGATTTTCTTCACTTCAAGTGCTAGAATACATCGAAAAATATTTTAAAGCGAACGAAAGCATGAAGAACAAAGTACTCGATCACATCAAAACGAATGAAATTCTTTTGAGTTTTGGTCACATTCCTGTGATGTGTTTTCTAATGTGCTTCTGTATTAAATGGTACATGACTGAATCAAAAACCACAGAAAAACTACCCATCACAATAACAGAACTTTATCATGAAGTAATCAAAGTATTTATCAAGAAACATTCCTCTTCTAAATATGAAGAAATGGAAGAAACTAAAGTACAAGAAATATTACATAAACTAGCTGAACTAGCGRTGAATTTAATGATGGAAGATAAATATATTTTCAACGAAAAAGATATGAAAAAATTCAATCTTAACGATGAAGAAATAACAAACCTGAAAGCGAGTGGATTACTTGACTGTTGTCCTGGCGTTAAAAAATCTCCATTCGAGAAACCACCACTTGAATTTACGTTCACCCACTTAACGATTCAAGAATTTCTCTGTGCTTTTTTGTTTGTAGAGAAAAAACAAATCCCAGAGAAAAAGAAAGCGAGCGATGTGACATTTATGTTCATGGCGGGAATGTTTTCAAGAGAAAGAGATGGGAAAATGATAGAAAAGTTGATAGAAAATACCAAACCAGAGGACAAAGACGATCATAGGAATAAACTGCTAACTTTATCCTGTCTGTACGAGTACAAAGACGATGGATTTTCTACCAGAGTCATAAATAACCTTAAACAGGTATACTGTAATAGGGATGGGGAGATTGAATTTAGAAAAATAACAGATATCGATTGTCTGTACATAAGTTATTTATTAGATATAGTGAATTTAATTAACGCAGAACAAACTAAACAACATCCAGCATTTACGCAGCCTTTTATTGTTCATTCATTGTGCATTGAGTGGTCAACTTTATCAGCATCAGGGATCAGAATGTTGTGTAATTCTCTTGCTCGTATTTCTGCTGTTGATGAGCTGTCGCTGTGGGCTTGTGAACTAGTAGACGATGAATGTATTAAAATAATTTGTGAACTGTTGCCTAGTACTAAGATAACAAACCTATACCTAAGTAGGGACAATATAACAGATATTGATGTTAAACAAATATCCGACATGTTGCCTCGTACTAATATAACCCTCATAGAACTAAGTGATAACAAGATAACGGATGTTGGTGTTAAAATAATATGTGACATGTTGCCTCGTACTAATGTAACACAATTATACCTACATAATAATAACATAACAGATGTTGGTGCTCAGTGTCTATGTTCAGTATTAACACGTGATGATTGTCGTGTAAAAGAGTTAAAATTACAGGGTAATAACATATCAAGTGAATGTGAACTGTCTCTAAGACAACAACTGATCCCTGGTGTTGAGTTGATTATTTAGATCGATAAGACTTAATCGTTTTGCATTTGTTTGAAGTGTAATTGTTCTCTCCCTTGCCACGAGGGTTTTTCTCCAAATTCTCTGGTTTACCTCCCTCCATAAAAATCAACATGTGAGTTGAGAATGGAGAATGTATTGAATATAGACGACCCCACAAGCTTCTGACTTCAAAGCCTACCATGTATAAATGAAAAAAAGATTGATTGACTGATTTATGTATAAAATACTGACTCATTAGCCCATAATAAACGTGTAGAATACTTTAATATTTTATTCAAAAATAAAGAAATTCTTGTAGTTTTATTTTTGTAGTTGATTGAAAGTTGATTTGTGTTTTACTCAACAAATATTCAAACAAATCCATTGAACTGATGAGAGCAGGATAGAAATAGCTAATATGACTTTGTATTGTCGYTTTTAATGTTCTCTGGTTGGTTCAAGTTCCCTGACATGAACCAATCAGCGTGGATTATTATTTTCCCGCTCTTTTCATCACGTGACTGGTTGGTTGGAAGTTTTTCAAAGTTGGTTTTGTTCTTTGTTCTTCATCAACCAAGAATTTCTACTGGATTATTGCTCTCTTCCCAACAGTTTACTGACTTACACAACCAGCCACATTGCAAGTAAATACCTCAACTACTAAAGCTGTGAAGGTMTATCTGTTTTATATCTTCTCTATTTTTTTTATTTTCAAATGAGGCTTTGTTTGAGAATGGGAGCAATTAGTATAGGAAATCGCACGATCTCGAGTACAATTTGAAAGGCGAGTGCAATTAAAGAACTTTCAAAACATATGAGTGTCTATTAATTCCAAATTGTACGAGAAGATCGTGCGATTTTTTGTTTATAGTTCACTTAACGAAATTTCAGTAAACATTGCGAAGCGACGCCGTGCATCTTTGTCTATTTGGCGGCCGATTTTCAGTCCATCGCACAACTGAAATGCATAATAAGATTCGTTCTTACGGCTCTAAAATTTATTTATATGTTTAATTTTTTTTGTGTACAAAATGATAGAAAATAATCGTTTTTACATTGTTTTGGCCGCGTTGCCATAGCGACTTATTCGGTACTTCAGTGGAGTACAATTAACGCTATAATTGTACTCCTCTCGACCAATCAGAGTCGAGTAATTTTGTTGAGTGTACTAAGTATAGAACATAGTCATTAAGTATGTGCATATGTTTTGGTATTCTATGATTGAATATACCTACCTATAATTACTGTATTACCCTGAACCTAAGTTTGGCGTTTTGGTGGACTAATTAGATAATATTCTATTGAAGAAATAGAAAACGCGCGCGCGTGCTGTGTGCTGTCATATAGCATGCGGGGGTTGGCCGAACACGAGAGAAGTGTTAGGAGAAGCACGACGCGTAGCGGAGTGCTTTTGGACACTTTTCGAGTGTTCTGCCAATCCCCAAGTGCTTTATGACTGCACACAGCACAGCAAGCAAGTTTTTTATTTCTTTTATAAAATACAAATTACAATAATAGATAGGAATGACGCAACGGAAAGTGCGCGCGGTGCAATGTGCTCTCATGAAGCACGCGCTCCAAACCAATCAGAACGCGACCTTCATAGCAGTTATTTTATATTGGAGTTTTATTTGTTTAGGATTTCGTCACACAAGTCTAGGTCAACATCAAACGCACATAACGCTATTCACCATTTTCCATACATCGGTTTACTGGTCAAACATAAAGCATTCAGTCGAGTTTGCAAGGTTCAAATTTGAATAATTATTTGAAAGTACTTTGGCGCCTCGCTTGAGCGCTTTGTGTTTGACCAGTGAACCAATGTATGGGAAATAGTGAATAGAGCGTATTGTTTTATGTGTTTTACTTTACGCATTTGCATGCGAGCCATGCTTGAATCATCCTAACACTACACGCGTACTTAATTGTATTTAAGACATTAATAATGATACAGTACGACAGCATATTAGAGTAGATATTCTTAACAAAGCGAAGGGTTTGAACCCAGAGGTTCGCAGTTGCGTTCACGCGGATCGCTAGGACTTCTTTCCGGTCACCGAAAACAGGAAAAACGAGAAACAGCACAGTGGGGGCCAGTTGCCAGTTTTGATTGGCTAAGACAATTAAACGTCATTGATAGTTCGATACAACGATTCTATTGGTTGAATAATGACCTGGGTGTAACCTAAAGGGCAAGGCACAGCCCTGAACCATCCAGACTCATCTATCTACCAACCGATCAAGACGTCGGAGAAATTAGGTAAACTTTAAACAAGTCAATATAAAGAAATACGTTCCTCTCTTCAATTAAAAGCTAACCGAAGGTAAGGTTTCAGAGGGTTTGAAAAGTTATTTCTAGTTTTATAAATCTAGGCTTCGTATTTTGCTTGTTTAGTTTTTGCTTTATTTCGTTTCACTTTCGTTTCGTAGGATAGAATCATATTTTCCTCTTGTACTAAAAAAAACCTGTTTAGATTTCAATAAACTAATTAACCATGTCTGTACATAAAGAAGATATAGTGTATTAAGAACCAAGTTTGTTTGTAGTAATTGAAAGATTCCAAGTTGTCTGAGATATAGCTGACTGACTTGGTTTTGATTTGGAATCAGTAAAGAAATGAATCATTCGTGCAGTGCTATCATGAGTAAATGGAGTAAATCTAGTCTACAAGTTTTATCTTTAACAGTTTCTTTAATAAATGGTTGATGTATTTTTGTTGGTTTAATACAGAAGGCAAGAACCAAGGAAGTACAGCACTGCTTGTTAAGCGACGGAGTAAGCAAAGCGGAAAGCAGGAATATTCCACTCCTACAGACTGATTGTGAGTATTCGATGTATTTGATCAATCCTAACTTTGATTATAAAGGGTAAGCTCAGTATGTAGAGATCTTTAATTTTAAGAGGTCTTGTTTTTACAGTTTCATGTTTAACAGTTTCTTTAATAAATGGTTGATACATTTTTGTTGGTTTGATACAGAAGACAAGAACCAAGGAAGTTCTGCACTGCTTGGTAAGCGACGGAGTAAGCAAAGCGGAAAGTAAGAACCTACTACTCCTGCAGACTGATTGTGAGTATTCGATGTATTTGATCAATCCCGACTTTAATATCTTAAGATCATTAATTTTTTTTAAAAAGTTTCTTAACCAAAAAAAACTTTGGAAAACATTCCACACATTCCACAAATTCAATCAAGAAAAAATGCGGATTTCTTTTGTTATAAATTCATGCTAGCCTAGCATTCAAGTTATGTTGAGAAGGATCCATCGAAAAGAGACTGGCATATCCACAATTGATATTCTTGATAGCTTATAATTGCAATCAGTAAGGATATCGAAGACTCGTTGAGTTCATGGGAGGGGCTAGAGAAAGGAATTTGTCTGAAAACGATTTGGTCTTCTATTTTTGAAGTTTTTATCGACATATTTCTGCAAGATGAAAGTCACATAGGTAGCTCATAGGTCGATAGAATATCCACAATTCATAAACGAAAATGCCGGAATTCGAATGCCAATCGCCTATACGCTCAACTGAAAAATCGTTGTCGGTTCAGAAACATAGAACATAGAAGCTGAGACCGAAATGGCACATGGGAAATGACATAATTATATTATAATTTATTCATTTACGCCATCCATGCAGTCGGTTTAGAATGCCAAACACGTATTAAAAACAGTGGATGATGCCACGGGTCGCCGGTCACAGCATGCATCTAATTAACGTACTCCCCATGTGCCATTTCGGTCTCAGCTTCTATGTTCTATGTTTCTGAACCAGATAACGATTCTTCAATTGAGTGTATACGTAAGTTCAAATAGATGATATTAAAACAAGTGAAAAATAAATTACTTACAAAATCAAGATGGAACTAGAATAAGGTAAATTTTTGAAATTATTCTGTGATGATCACAAATTACTTAGGAAAAAAAAGATTATCAATAGTGATAAAATATCAGGATTCACTATCAGGATTCTAATAAACTTTCCTTGACTCGTGCTAAGAACTTTTCTTCCGTAACTTTCTGATATGTGCTGTTTCCAATGATAATCTTACACCGAAACGAGAAAAGGATTTTTGTTGAATATTCGATCTTGAATGTTTAATGCCAAAATTGTTATTGTATTATAAGAGCGAGTATCCTTAATAT